CAAAAACCATCATTCGCTCGACCGTTCGTTCGATGTAATTTAAACACACCTTCATATTCTCGTTAGCAATATCTTCAAATTTGATTTGGGCGAAGACACCCTGAAAGAACTAAAAATGCATAATCTCCCTCTCTCCTCTCTCTCTCTCTCTCTCTCTCTCTCTCTCTCTCTCTCTATCTCTCTCTCTCTCTCTCTCTCTCTCTCTTATACGCACACACTGCGGTTGGCATTTTATGCAGTTTGTACCACGCAACAGGGTCGCAGTTTCCTCCGCTACGACAGACTTAGGCAACAGCAACTATTGTGTTAATGAGAGAGTTATTTCAGTTCATCACAGTGTATGCAGAAACGGAAGTAAGGTAACCATTATTCGTATTCGGCCCGACCGCAACTATTCGGCCGAATACCGAATAGTTATTAGGATACTATTCGGCCCCGAAGCGAATACGAAGCGAATATTCGGTACAGTCCTAGCAAAAACCGAAACATATTTAACATGTACGTTAAGCTTTAATATGCCAACAAATCACTTATAGCGACTTGCCATCAAACTACCTCCTAGCGAGAATACAAAATGGAAACAAATCTACCACCACCTAACCAATTGAATCGTACCGCGAGATCAGCCAGGGAAATCAGTCAGACAACGGCCTTTCCCTGCGGTCGCCATACCCATGTTGGCGAGCCATAAGTGCAGAGCTACAAGTCCGGAAGTCCAATTGATCGCTGAAAGACTAAACAAAGTCTTTTATACCCAGTGGCCAGATTTTTCCGCTTTTTACTGTCTTAAACTAAAAGCTGTTCCTGTGGCCTCTTGGTCATTTTGAAGCCAGATTATATAAAAAATGTTGAGCTGCTGAACAGTAGTCTACCAGTCTATTACATGTCGGCCCATTATTTTTGTTGACGTCCCGGCAACTATACAATAGATAACAATTACTGTCTACAAATCCTCCCCCAACTCCTGTTCTACATCCCACAGAGTTACTGGCCATAGCCACATGGAATAAAATCATCCTCCCAACATCATGTAATCACTAGTTACTTGCAGTATCATTCATTAACATTCACCCCAAAATAACTGCCATTGACATATGAGCAAAGCATAACTCGTCCTAAAGAAACTGGATAAAAAACGTATAAGTCCCAAATAAAAAATTGCATCAAAGATGGCAGAAGTCATGAAACATCCAGTGAACTTTTGCGTTTCAGTTTCAGATACCATCTGTAAAATCACTATAAACTCCCCCCCCCCCTCACCCCACCCCCTCCCCCATCTACATCAATGATGGCGATATCACTGGAGCACGCTAGCATGTGCTCTGGTGTCCAAGACACAACAGAGTAGAATAAACCCCCATCTAATCCGCTCCTCGGTAGAAAAATGCATTAAAAAAATATCAAAGCATCCCTGACACACACCAAGCAGAACCTAGAAAAACAAGAAAGCGCAAAAAAACAAAAACAATAACAACATAGTAATCAGCCAACATCAGGATTCTAGATAAGTTATGTTTCCTCTCAGACGTCCAGTGATTCTTTCTAGATAGGTTCTCTCAGCTGTTTATTACCTCAGCCGCGGTGCTTTCATTGGACTGCTTCCATTACCATTTGCCACTACCGCGTCGCATTAAGAAGACGTTTGCCTTTACCACGAGCGCGAGGAATTTGAAGGACTTTCCACAACATTTACCTCAGCTTCGAGGAAGCCTACAAAAGACAAATCGGTCACTACCTCGGCTCTGGGTGAGCCTACAAAGGACATCGGACATTATCTCGGCTTCGGGGAGGCCTACAATAGAATCACTTGTCTCGGCCGCATGGCTTTTGAGAGACATATCGGACATTACCTTGGCTTCGGGGAAGCCTACAAAAGACAATTCGGTCACTACCTCGGCTGCGGCGCGGTGATTTCTGTCACAGGCGTGAGGTAAAGTTAAGTCCAACGTGATGTGTATAAGGAGTTTCCCGTACGTCACTCAGGCGCCAGTCCTGCACTGTTCTGGTTTTACAGAACCTGACGCAAGACGCCTACAGCACATCTTCGTCGTGCGCCACGGATAATGTCTCAAATGAGCTTTAACAGAGCTGTCAGGGAATCTCAGAGTTGGCGGCACCCAGAGATGCAGTGTCCTTGTGGCTCTCATCAGCTCGCGCCCCTCCCCCTCCCCCCCCCTCCCCAACGCATAGGTAAAAAAGCTTATCAAGACTCGTTAGGAACATGAGTAAAGTGCTTGACAAACGTACAACTCAAATGAGAACCCTCGGTTAAAAGTTTGTGGGGTGAAGAGAACATTGTGTTGCTGAGACCAACCCTTGACCTAGAGATTTACCCGCAGCACAGACGAGTAACATCTCCTGTGGGTGGCGTCTCGCAGCAAGATTCTACCCATGTACAACCTCTGTCAACCCTTAGTGTCGTCGCCACCGCGCTGAGGTACACCAAGACAGCAATCATCCATCGGCTGGTTAAGCCCAAATGTCCGACAAAAATAGATCCTACGGCACACGAACAAGCTCAATATCCGACCATCATAAATCGTATTGATTGGGAAAAAGTCCAAATGTCCACATCCCGAGAACCCACTCGCTTTAGTGTTGGGACTTTACAAATAAAGACATGCCTGACGCATGATTCTCCATTCTGTCGTGCTAACAGTACGCTAAAGATGACAATCGTGCGATGAATAAGATTGTACTTTTTCGTGGTGTCACAAAATCCAGAACCCACGGGCTGTTCCCCGCTGATCTCCGGAGGGTGCAGGCCGTGTCGAGCGGGAAGCCTAATACGGTTGTGGGGTTAAGCAGTTACGTGCAGGACGTGATGATTCCTTGGGTGAGCCCAGAACCAGAGTGTTATGTGTCGGCTCTGCATTTATGGAAGCCTCCTTGGATGGCGGGAAATGCCCATGATCTGCCCCTGCCTTCCCTTGAATACTAACCGTTCCACACAGGGCTGCTCCAAAGGGGGTATCCGGGGGCAACACCTGTGGAGAAAGGGACAAAGAGGACACCACACGAATAAGAGAACATCTCGACCCACACAAAACAATGGCCACAGTCATCCTAGAAATAGGCCTGACGTCTTCCTTCAAAATCGGAGTACACCTGCCCGTGAGGCAGGGAACGGCAAAAGCCAGTAAAATGGTTGTACAAGCAAAACTCGGGTCCAGGTAAAAGCCAAAAGTTCAAACGGGCGATTAACCGGGACCTTTCGCCGGAATTCACAGCCGGTGAACGAAGAAGAAGAAGACTACCTCGGCTCTGAGTGAGCCTACAACGGACATCGGACATTACCTCGGCTTCGGGGAAGCCTACAATAGATTCCCTTGTCTCGGCCGCATGGCCATAGAGAGACACATCGGACATTACCTCGGCTTCGGGAAAGCCTACTAACTGCCATTATCTCGGCTGCTCGGCCATCGAGAGACAATCTTCTTGTCACTGTCACCGCCGCGTGACTTCTGAGTGACATTTCTACCATAATTACCTCGTCTTTGGGAAAGCCTACAGTGAAATTAGAGGGAAATTACCTCGGCTGAAGCCTACAATGTATTGACTGGTAACAGCAATGTTAATTAACTTCATTGCTCAACTGGCTCGGTCGGTGTACTTCACACAAGGCTCCCTAATATATGAACAGACCTACAGTTAAACCTTGATAAGGAGACAAGATACAAAATAAACTGACCCCAAGTTTAGGTCGAGACGTAAACAAGCCACTCCGCGGACAACAGACAAAAACCACTCCTAGTCAACAATAGACACAGACAACTCCTAGTTTAACAAATCTGATAAGTAACATCTAATCACACAAAATTAACTACACAGGTCGCACCTACACAAGTTCTGAACCAAATGTTAATCAACATGATAATCTGAACCGACTAGACTTGTCATATAAGACTACTCTTGTGAACAAGATGATGTAGTATCTAACTAAACAGAGCCCAAGTCTTCGATAGCGAAACTACACACGTGGGCACATATATTCGAAGTCTGTAAATAAAAAGAGCACATGGGCGCCATCAAAAACCAATTTAAAATATAAATCATTATAATTACCGGAACTAACTAGAACTCCTTTGTGAATTAAATTCTGTAACATCTAACTATACAGATACCGAAAGACTGCAATATAGAAGCCCCAGGTTGGGCGCCATTTGTGCTAGCGGGAAGAAAGAAGGAGGAAAAAACAAAAGAAGGCAGAGATAAAGGAGAAAATTGTGATTCGAACAAAAGTAAAAGTTCCCCGATAAACAACAAAAACATGAAAGTGGAGAAAAGATAGGTGTTCTTCTGCGCAGAGATCCTAGAATATTTCATAAGTACCCAAACAATAAATATCTGTATCGTGAGTTACATGACGACGACCTAGCTACATGGCTACACACACCTAGACGAACCACGGACTACAGATCCTAAATTAAATCGAGCAAATGAATTATAATCACATTAAACAGCTGTTTATTTTACTTAGCATAACATCAGCGTGGTCCACAAATAACATTAACAACAACCAATGTGCTCACAAACAAAAAAGAAAAAAATTGTGAAATTATACAATTTTCTGTTAGTGCAGTTGACTTTATTAAACGTACATACATACATTTTTTGTTAACAGTCACACACAGGAGTGTGCGCCCCCCCCCCCCCCCCCCGCCTTCACACGCACACACACGAACTGTGCATGTGCAGAGGGAATGGAAGAGAGAAGTGTGTTTACTTTCTATTTAATAATGTTTAAGATCACACACACACACCCTTCCCCTCTCTCCCAATACACACACGCGAATTGTGCATGTGCAGAGAGAAGGGGAAGAGCGACGTGTGTTTACTTATCTATTTAATATTGTTTAAGTTCACACATACACACGCACACACACACCTAAATGCACACACACGAACTGTGCATGTGCAGATAGACGTGTATTTACCTATCTGTTTAATATTGTTAAAGATCATGGTAACACACACGGCTACGAGGCTCACTTCGACCTACAGAACAACAAGGGTCAGGTGGGCAACGGACTTGGCTGGGATAACCCCGAGGTCACCTGGCAGTATGTGGACTGTCCTCAGGACTTCAAAAACAAATTCAACCAATGTCAGTGTCATTGATTGGAACGTACTTACGATAATAAAAGGTTAATGGTGTCTCTATACTAGCGTTGCTTGTCTCTCTGAGTGTGTGCATGCACGTGGGAGATTTTTGAATAATTCTTTTAGAGTAAATTAAACATTGTTAAGTGACATTTTAACACTGTATATATTGCTATCGACTAATTGGAAATCTTTTCATACCACTGCTTTACATAATGCTGGTGTCCCGAGTCATAGTAAAGGATGGACACTAAAAACAGAATGTAAACAAACCAATCATGTGATCAGTGCAGAAAATAATTCAGCAAGATAAATCTAACCAGCTAAGGAAGCAAAGAAATTTCTACTTCAGATGGGGTCCTGGTTTGTCCCTAGCAACAGCCAGTGTAATTACTGCCAATTTGTGGAAGTTTGGATCTAGTAAACTGGCACCTAAAGTTAGTATCAACCGCAGGTATTTGCATTTCCCACTTATCTGTCCAGTATGTCCTGTTCATTTGAATAAAGCCTCCTCGCAGATCTGGTAGAGCAGGTATGACGTCTAGTGAATTCTCTATTGAAGATCATGGCTCAACGATTACAATAATTATTGAAATAAGTGTCATACCATACTGATAAAGTCAATTGTTCTATGGTATTTCATGGAAGATTGGTCAGTGTTAATTTAAAATATGTTAGTCTAAACTTTATGGCACCCACTGGTCGAGGCAGTTGTAGGCATTATGACCAGCTCAAATACTTTGATCTTTGAAGATACAAGCTGTGAACCTCACAGGACCACAGACAGTTGTCAACTACGGAGTCCCTGACATGGTGCATAGGTAGAAACGAGTGGTACACGACAGATCTCTCCTCCTGTTTAATGCACGTGGGTTAAAATGGATAGTGCTAGGATACCGACTGTCGACTTGGCTTCCATACAGTACTAATATCCTGTGAGAAAGAGGAACACCAGAATTAGCAGTCACCCAAGTTTTCCACCATCCATCTATCCACATAGTTTATCTCAGAGGTGTGTGCTAGGCTTTAATAGACTGCATAAACCCCAGGATGGCCATGACAGCTGTGAGGTAAGCAAGAAACAGTTTTCTATGCTGCTCTGGTGAAAGCGATAGTTTGCATGTGCCAACTTATAAAGGGAAAACTCTTCCCTTTCCATACTGGGATAGTTATACACACACAAGTATACCACGAATGCCGGAATATTGATGCTGACATTCAATGTTTACACTTTTGTGCAAGACGGATGTGGCATCACACATTTACTAAAATTAGCCGGACCCTGGCTGATATAAATCAATACTGTGTTCTGTCCCCGATTCTCATCCTTGTTGAAGGATGTCTATATACATATTAAATGTGAGCAAAGCGTACTATGAAATGAATATATCATGTCCAAGCTGTCTGGAACCCATTGAAGGAGTATGATGAGAGAATGTTCCTCGACTTGCAGGGGAACGCTTTGGTTTCACGCCCTCCTTCAGTTTGAATGATATGACCGCTAGGTCCCGTTGCTTTACATAGCCGCCTCTGTCCTACACTCATCAGCAAGGCCGAATGCATGGTACTTATAAACTTTAATGCCCTTACCCGTGCTCGTGGACGTTCTCGGATGGATCAGTGATTTAAACGGAGGTAAGCAGATATACAGAAAAGGCAGCAAGCCGTCTGTTACCTCGGGAAGATCAGTCAAGAATGTCAAACTAAGCGTCTCTCCCGATAGAGGCGGGAGGGGATTCATTCGCCTCTAAAGCGGTAGTCTGGCTATTGGAATTTGGCTTCATTATCAATGAATCTCGCAACTATGTCACTTAATTTGAAAATGTGTCATTCCAAAGAGAATTAGGATATAATGAGTACTTAACCCGACATTTTAACACATAATTACAAAAGAAGGACTATTTACATATGGAGGAAAGTCCAAGATTTGAAAGTGCCTAATTTGAGGTGACAAGATATGGGCAGGTCCATGACTAGAGCGGTGTTGGCTATTATGCGACATCTGCCAAGGAAGCCTGGTGTAAAAGATTATAGAGAACATCGCATATATATATTGAATAAGTCGTGTGAATACAGTTTTGAGGAAGATTGTGATGAAAAAAATTAGAGGGGAAAAACATTTAAAATTAACAAATCTCAATCTGGATGCCAGATCAACAAAGCATATTATCATCTGAGTGGTGGCACTTTGTGTCACTGGGTGTGAATCGCTCGTTGTGCGATCCTGGTGAGGTTAAAGGTCACTCACTCAGCCACACCAGCCGGTCAACCTGCAGTCCTATGCGGGGAAGGAGGTTCTACTGACAACTGTAGCGTCCTGTGTTTGTTGAAGACTCAGTTTAAATAATTATTGTTTTTTTTTTTATTATTTCTCTAGTATAAAAGTAACAGGAAAGGACCCTTTTCCATGCCTTTCGTGCGCATTGGGTATATAGGGCTAGATCTATATTTTTTAGACCAACGGCACAAGATGGATGATGTGATCAGCAATTACTTCCTAGAACTACACCTGTTACCCACTTATGGCTGGGTCGCCCTAGGAGCCAAGGTCATTTTGGAAAAAAAAAGTCCGGCTTTAACAAGAAGTGAACCCACGACTTTCCAATCCGCAGACGAGCGTCTAGCTGCTACGCCACGGCGACTAATGCCGAATAATGCGATTATCCCCTGCTGTTGTCACTCTGGTTGTCCACTTTGATGTCGGTCTTCAACTGAACTAAAGGTTTGGAACCAGTGCCAAAGTCGACTGATGGCACTCTGATGTACGTTTAGATTTCTGGCAATCTGACTTTGACTTTCTCCTGCCTGCAATTTGCCAATAATAATATTTCTTAAATGTATCGTTAGAGGAGCCATGTCTTTTCGAAAATGAACTGAATGTTTTGGTGTAGCGTTATTCTTTTATAGGGTTTCAATTGCTTTGGCGGTGAATAGTGTTCGCCCCAAATTGTGTTGCTTTCTCGCTCATCCTGTTCTATGCTCACAAATATTTTCCTAAATACAATTGACCATTGCGTTGTAACGATTACAAAAACTCACTCAATTCACGCTCACACACACACTGGACACGGTAAACAACATCTGAGCCTGCTTTTCCTATACCCGAAAACGATATTTCATTTACAAACTAATAAAAACGCCCCATCAGATAACTACTAATGTTTTTTTTGTTTTTTTTACTGTATACGAACATTCATAAATTGGTGGCTGCACAGGCTAGAGGTAATCAGGGACGCTGCCACAAGAAATCAGCTGAGGTGGGGGGGGGGTAGGGGGGGGTAGGAGGGGCACTGGCGACTCAGGACTCTTGTATTTGTCTACAGGTGGGGGCATAATGGGCTTAAGTCTTGTTTTAGTGCACATTGTAAAAAAAAAACCAATTTATTATTATTATTATGCGTGAAATAACAAAAACCTATAAACTATATTTGAAATAATTTAAACAAGGTAAGCCAGACCTCTTAATGACCTGGGGATATCGGGGAAGGGGGTATTCAGCTTTCATACACATTACTGAGTGAGGGGCCTCAAAACAATTTGGGGAGGCGGCGCAAAATATCTGAACCTCCAGGTTTTGATGTCACGGGGGGGGGGGAGGAGGGGGGAGGGGGGGGGGGATTTACATTGAATGACTTAATCACGAGCTTCTGGGGGCGAATAAACAAGTTCCAGTGTATCAAGATGCGAAGAAAAATCGCTGGCGATGCATAGGACACGTGCGGAGAAAACATAAAAGCAAAATAATCTTTCCACTGGAACCCACAGGAATATAGAAATAAATTCAGGCCCAAAACGATCGAAAAGAGAACAAGTGGTTTAAACATAAGGGAAGACACTTGGTGAGCTGCATGCAATAACAACGGAAATTACAACTAGGTGTGAGTTTGTTGAGGGCTTATGCTCCATCACTGGGGGAGGGGGAAGGGAGGGGGAAGAGAGAGAGAGAGAGAGAGAGAGAGAGAGAGAGAGAGAGAGAGAGAGAGAGAGAGAGAGAGAGAGAGAGAGAGAGAGAAAGAGAGATTTATATTCTTTGTCCTAAAGTGATATATGAAAAACAATAGTTATACTTTTGGTATTTAAATATTTAGCAGCACTGGAGCCAGTCGATTACCTTCAGGCTTCCCTAAACAAATGCACACAGTATTTAATATCCATATCCACTGGCGAGGCATAATCGACTCGTGTGTGCAAGTGCTGGCAGGTGGCGATTACGCATTAAAGGGTATCCTGTGACATTATCTTCCTCGTCGCTTCGCTGATAAGAGAATGCGTTTACATCTAGCATTGAAGCAGTGGTAACGTAGCTTTCAAAATTTACAGCTTCTGTATAATGGCGTAATCTTGCAGCCAGTTTTTCCCATTGCTATGTTAGGGCGTTATCCATCTTCGAAGTTTTATTTATTTATTTGAAAAAAAAAAAATCCATTCTTTGAAAAAATAGTAAGGAAAAAAGGTTAAATCATTATAAAAAATAGGTTAAAAATTAATTTTAATGTTACATCTTAAAAACTTTCAGGCCATTTTACGATTAGTAAAATAAAAAAAAAAAAAAATAAAAAGTTGGCTTGGAAGCAGTTTTGCCACTTTGGATGTTTTACATCCAGATTTATATATTTTCCCTTGCATTTAAATGGTGTTTTTGACGTTTAGATGGTAGATGTTTTTCTAGATGTTTTTCATTTGAGTTAGATATTTTATAGATTTTTTTTTCTTTCAGTGTCAGTTTAATAATTACTGTGTAAAATATTTACTACAATATTTTTGTTTTGGTCTGGCACTTACATTGTGACAATTACGATTGCTTAAACTTTGAACCCTCACAACGCTCAAATATCTGGCAGCCCACGTACTGATTTAAAGTGCGCGTAAATCATACAAACTATGTATCACTATATGTATCCCTTACGTCCTTCTTAGGACGTAATTTTTTGTTATTTGAAGCCTCGCTCTGGCTTTTTCCAGGGGCCGCAATATAGTCAGGCCATCAATTTGGCCAATTGTCTGAACGCGGTTTCTGG